AAACGCAAAAATCTAAGATCTTCCCCAAGCGTTCCTAAAGAACGGTTGCTGAAGGAGGATCCTTGACGAAATGCTTTTGCAAAGCTTCTGCACGCCAGCTCAAACCTGAAGATGGCCAGTTCATGTGGATCAATGGTAATTTTGCCGTTCTTATCCCAGGCAGTTCATCACATCACGAGACCCTTTAATGATATCGGCCATAGGGTCTACTACAAGACTAGCAGAACGGTGCGCAACATTTCTTATAAAATGTACATGCCCATGAATCATCCGGAAGATGCGTTAAATACTGTCTACGAAGTTCCCTGCAGAGACTGCGACATGGTATACGTTAAAAGACCAACTGGAAATTGAATAAGCGCATAAAAGAGCACCTTGCTGCCGTCTGCCTTGGACAGGCTGACAGTTCTAGTATTGCCCAGCATGCGATTACTGGAGGACATTCTTTCAGTCACACCAGAATGCCTGTCATAGACTGACACCAATCTAAATTAGGTCTGCTGATAAAGTAGCCTATGCAAAGGCTGACAACGAAAAACCGGATGTGCAATGAATACACTTCTTCTGTATTATTGATGAAAGCTGGGAGACGATTGTCTTAGTGAGAATTTCACACTCTATGTCGGTTAATAATCTGGCTGTTCAGTTTAGCAACATTTTGATTGCAAAGTATTGTTCGCTTATTAGACGAATTCAAAACAGCTGCTATTTGTTCATTCTATCAGCGAAGGCCCTAGGAACTGCTAAGAATATCATGGGAGATTGTTTCACCACATTATGCTGCTAAGTGGGATTATGTTCTGTTGAAGTTTAAACGCTGGCACGGGATAAGGAACGTTGGAGAGTGTTGTCTGACGCGTAAGCCTCCCTGATCGGAAAGGACAAGTAGTGATCAGAACTGGCTGACAGACTCTTCTCATTTGTGACTGAAAAAGGCTCGATGAATCATTTCTTCATGCCATCTTCTACTGACTATATTTGATAGTAATTTATAGAGGTCACAGATCAACACGACACTTAAAAATTATGCCGCAATCTGTGAAGAAACCGACTGAACTAGAATTTGAAACTCTGACATCCGGCGAGTGAATCATGGCTGAGAGCGAATGTGAACGTCAGCACAGAAAACTAGAAAGAGCGAAGCGAAAATGTCAGTACGTTTGTCATTACCTGATGTCCTTGAAGAGTGATATTGCTGAAAAGGTGGCTGACAGAACAGCTTCATTAAAGGTGTATCAAAGTAATGCAAGTCATTAGAGCTTGTGGTGAACGATCGGCACAGCTGATACGAGGCCAAGACCTTTGAAATCCAGTCAGAGAACACCTGAAGATCGTCGTACTGAAAGTGAGCCTTTTTTGCAAACGACACCTGGTGCCAATGTGTGGTGGCTTCAGCTGAGCCGGTTAAAGAGCGGCAGTATAGACACAGCATAAACACCGTAAAGTTGCAAGCAGTTGAAGTCAGCAGCCTCGCGTATACCTTTCATTCGGCGAATGTTTACAGTAGTTGTGGAGCAACTTTTGCTGTCATTCAAAAAATGGCATGGCAAAATACTTGACTGAAGAATTCGTAGCTAGATATGTTGTTGAAAATTAGAAATGAGTCGCACTGTTGTTCAGCAAAACCAAAATAACCAATAGAGCTCCAGGTTAACGGTTAGTAATACTGTGTGCAAATGAAACATAAAATTGCTGCAGAATCGACCACGATCTAGAGGGACATAAAATTAACACGTGTTTTCTTCTATTATACCAGAAGTTACTGAGAAACCAAGTTTTGAAAAATTTATGAAAGATTGCTGTTTTAATCACTTCATTTTGCTTGAACTTTAGATTTTGGACCGAAAATTAATCGTTATAATCAACAATTTGATTCCTTTATACGTGCCGAACACAAATGCAAAACAAAGATCGAAATGCGCTACTAATAATCCACACGATTCGTCACGAAAAAACAAAGTCAGTACTGAACGTCGAAAAAGTCAAATCAACGTATCTGTCAAGAACAAGGTGCTATCAGTATGACATATCGTGGCAGTTGGAAGTGACAAATATCACTTTTTGCCATTTTAAAAATATCTCCCCAGCTTTGATTTATATCCACGAATTAAGAATACTCAGCGTACATTTGCTGCTTCATATGAATCTGAAGAGAGCAACGGGCAGGAGTACGAGAAAGCACTACACTCTTCGTTTTGGATGCGTTCACATGCATGCCGGTCATTTCGCACTCGGCTGCGAACGTTTCTGTGGAGCACTGAAGATCAGTTTCAGAAGATGCTAGTAAAATAAGGTGTTCTGAAAACAGCAACCTACTCGACTTCACATTTAATTCACCGATACCCTCATCACCTTGGCAGCTACTGATTGTTCTCTCCATGTGCAACACAAACAGGATAGGAGACAGGACGCAGCTTTGGCGGAGACCAGGGCGAACGTTGAATGGTTTCGACGCATTTCGATTTAACGCTATTAACTCTGACGCAGCACCTGCAATCCGAATACAGTGATTGAATGGCCCTTAGCAGCTGGCCATCAATCCCATATGCACGAAGGCATTTCCACAGACTGATGCGTGGGATCCGGTCATAGGCTTTTTCTAGGTCCACAAAACACATGTATACCGGATAGGCGCACTCCCACGATTTCTCAACTACCTGACGCAAAGAAATACATGGTCAGAGGTGCTTCAACCGGCCCCGAAGCCACACTGATCTTATTGGATCTTGAGGTCAAATATTTCATGGCACCTACTTTCTAGTACCTTTCCGTAGACTTTACCTGGGAGGCTCAATAACGTTATGTCCCTATAATTGGAGCATTCCTTGTGGTCTCCCTTCTTGAATACGGGTACAGTAACTTCCGTTCTCCAGTCCGCTGGTGTCCCGCAGTCATCGCAGTTTGACAGACACGTGTTAGCCAGCACATGCTTTGTTCGCCTAATGCCTGGGCAATTCAGGCGGGTCTGATCAATTCCAGCAGCCTTTCCATTTTTCGAGCTTTTTACAGCTTATGCAATTTTATCTACAGAGATTGTAATATCCTTTCCCTGGCGCTTTTCAAGCGAGTCTTCCTGCGGCTGCACGGTGTTAAGAAATTCCTCAAACTGATCGCTCCATCGCCGAAAAATGTCCTCATCGTTCGCAAGAAGGTGTGTAGACCTGTCCTTCAAGACTCTGAGACTGTCCTTCTTTTCACCTCTGAGAAGGCGGACGACCTGATTTGCCTTGTTTGTCGTCTAAAATTTTGACTCCATCACCTCACCAGACGTCTGCCAGGAATCGGCTTGGCTCTTGCCACTGCTTTCGCTGTCGCCTTGGGCGTTTCTTTGTATTGCGTGAGAAATGAGAGCTCTTCCCCTCCAACGCATTTCTTGAATGCAGCCTTCTTCCCTTTAACTGAAAGCTCTACCTCTCTTGTCTACCAGGAAGTTCTTTTCTGACCTCCAGACCGTAGGCAAACCCTTTTAAATCCGCAGCATTCGGCGGAAGCCTCGAGAATGCCGCACTAAAGTAGTTGCCACTCGGTTTTCACACAAACGGTTATCCCTGCGATTTGTTCAAATCATCTTGTGCTGTTGTTCGCAAGCTTCGATCACTATCTTCCGAAGAGAATGTTGTTCGTTTGATTCTCTGATTTTTCCTACCACCATACCACCATACCTTCGCATGGTCCTTTATTTCTGATAGCGTTTCGTCCAAACCACATGGTGACGATGAATTGATAGTTCTGTGCCTCTCGTAACGCGAACATTCGTTATAGAGCGTCGTAATCAGATCGTGCGATTATTGATTTCTGTTCATTAGCTTCCTCGTACCAGGTATACTGATGACTCTTTGATGCTCGAAGAAG